AAAGGAAACTCTCCACTGCTAACTAGCTTCAAAAGTTCTAGAAGGTGCTATGAAGGCTGCTGTAGAAGAGACAACAAAGGTTCTATTAAGAATGTGATAATACTGATTTGACAGATAAGATGTGCCCACTGAGGCAAGTATGGCAAGACAGCTTATGGGAATAACCAATTGCTTTCTTGATTGGAATTAAGGCTTTCCCTGAATTCATGTCTTGTACTATAAATATGGTCAAAATTCATGGCTTTGGGATGTCAAAGGCCTTAGGCAATAACCCATTGATGCTGTTCTCTAACTGGTCATATTGTCAAACTATTTTCTAAGTATCTATTTTTATATTCATAGATTTGTACAGTTCCCAGCCTTAAGTCAGAGAGGGGTCTTATAGCAATGGATAATAGCTAACAGAGACTCACTACTGTTCAAAGTGCTGAGATTAAGTGGTTTTTGGGTGCTGAGCTTCCAAGGACTTCTGTATTATCCCACCAAAGCATCAGAAACACCATGAGAGGGAAGTAGAAAGAGTAAAAGAGCCAGAGGGCAGAGGCAGTGGCTGTGAAATGTCCTCTGTGAAGTACATAATTGCTGCACACATGAACTTGTAAGAGTTGTAGTTACCTACAGAAGATATGCATATTATTAAGACAGTTAAAGTTGCAGCACAGCAGGGAGGGGAAATGGGTTCCTGAGACCCAACTTGTAGGCTTGAGCCTACTGACTGCTGATGACTACTTGGGAAGGGACAGCCACTTTTCTTTTATAGTGTTGTTAATGATGGTTACTTTGTGTCCTAATGAATGCCCCCCATGTATATTGGCAGAATGAAATGGACTCTGTGGGTTAAAAACAAAGTGATTTTTGTGTTGGAGGAATGACATAGTGGGTAAGAGCACTAGCTACTCTTCCAGAGGACCTGGGTTTAATTTCCAGCATCCACATGGCAGTTTACAACCACCTGTAACTCTAGTTCCAGAGGATCTGACAGCCTCACACAAACATACATGCAATCAAATGTACACGGGATAAATTTTTTAAAATATAAGTGATGTTTTTAAGCATCATACAGGAAGGATGTGAAGTTGGGAGGAAAATAAGATGGAGAGAGTTTTGTGATGAGTTAAAGGTGGGTAGTGAAGAGTACATGTAAACAAGTCACTTTGTGTAAAGAGTGGGAGTGGTAGTTACACTCATCGGCTGGTTGACACCAACATGTAAGTGTCACTATTTCACCTTTATGCATATATTGTGATGATAGTAAGTCATAGGTGTTGCTTCTAAGGAAGACTTTTTAATTGTTTTCCTTCCTTGACAACTTGCTTAGTATTTTCAGAAACCATGCAATCTAGACTGCAGCAGAAAGGCTTTAGCTTGAAATATCAGTGTCCTATGTCCTAAGTTGTGATCTTTAGGATCAGGGGCCCACCTCCAACCCCTGAGGGACAACTAACAACTACTTTGATCATCAATATTGCTTTTTTCTTTTTTTAAACCTTTCAAAAATGTTTTATTTTTAGAAGCATTTTTAAAACAAAATAGGATATAATAAGATTTTTAAAAATCATCATATCAAAGGTGGACAAGGCAACCCAACAGAAGGCAAAGAGACCCACTTATTCACACACTCATGTTTTGGAACATGGCCAACGATTTGAAAGGAGGTTTCTAATGTTTTGTACTGAGAATTCTCAGCCTAAGTGGCTTAATTTCTTTTAAGTTAGTTAGTTTTTTTAATTGGGACACACACACACACACACACACACACACACACACACACACACACACCATCAATACCTGAAAGGAACCAAATGCATATTGTAAAAACAAACAAAGGTCATATTGTCAGATTACCACCCAATAGTACTCATGGCAGAACTACTAACTCACACAACATGTATGATATTCAGATGTAGTGTGTGAGAGAGATTAGATTCAAAATAGAACATACTACAAATTTTAATTTATATGACATCTTAGAAAATTCTATCTATAACAAAATAAAATGGAGCAATTCCAACTGTGGACAGGAATGCTAGTGACACTAGGGGCAAAGAAGCATCAGGAATGTCATCGGATAATGAATGGTGGTAGTGAATTCCTGAGGGTCTTACATATGGAGGATAGATGTTCTTTCAAAACTCTATAGGCAATCCCTAAAATGCAGGCGTATTATTTCAAAAAATTCAAACTTTAAAGAAGTTAATGTAAAAGTTTTTGAGTGTCCTAATCAACAACATAATGACCCAGTTCTTAAAAATCAAATCAGAGATGATCCTGTCTTAAAAATCGATACTAAAAATAAGTCTGAACAACAAAGTAACTCATTCTTAACAAGTACATAAATTCTTTGACCATATGCACCTACACTACATTTCCTACCTTGCTATTTTCAGTTTGTTGCTTTGTGTTAATGAAGCTATTTTAAGATAAGCCACAGGGCAAATGTTCTTTCTTTCAATATAATGACAGGGGAAATAAACATTTCCCACTTTTTTCCTACTAATGCCAGGTCACCCTGGGCGAGCTCTCTGCTGTCGTAGGTAGCAACCTGTCTTTTCTGATGGCGAGAATGCATTAATCCATCTGATAAAGGGCACATTGGGGAAGGTGAACACTGGTCAGAGCTCTTTAATCTGTCATGTCCTATTTTCTTTTTACCATTGAAATGTTCCAGAATCCCCTTTCCAATCTGTCACTGGAACCCTAACATCCCACCCCAGAGTTTACATGAACCTTTAGTAGTATTATGGGAAGACATGAAGCCACTTTATAAAACAAGGTGGTTTTCTATGAATTTTGTATTATTGGTGTTGGAACTGAATTACAAATTTACCTTTCCTGCCTTTGCTAATGAGAACTGTGTTTGCATGTACATAGCACTTCTGGACTGTGAAGAGAAGGAATTAAAGCATATTGCTAAATAAATGAAGCAATGCTTATAGACTGTGAAAACTAGACCCTTAATTAGTTTTACAACTTCCTGAAAACATGTGAAATATCATTCAAAATAAACTAACCGCTTCAGAGCACCTACAAAACACTGTATTCCAAGCTACAAATAAAAGCTATATGTGTTAGTGGACCTAGAGACTTCCTTTTTTGAAATCCTATGTTATAAAAGCATGAGAAATTTGTGTGCAACTAATGCAGTTGCTTCAGTGAATTATAAAATTAAAAATCATCCATAGACAATTCTGCTAGATAAATCTCTAGTGACAATTTCATCCCACCATTCCCAATGGCTTCTCAAACTATTTGCAATATAATTAAGCACTCAAGCACACCACAAACCATCACTCAAAAAGTAGAACTTCTAAGTTGTGCTTAGAAGATGCCCACTAGCACAACTGAAAATACGTTTCATTTTCATGAGTGACAAATGACTTCCTTCCTATCGACAGCTTTCATCTGATCTACTACTGAGGTTGCTATTTTCATGGGAATTATTAATTACCAATGGTAATGATCACACATTCCAACTATTTATGTATCCAAGTGTCAGTATTCAAGGTTTCATGGTCTATGTCTAATTTTTGGTAAACAGGTGTGTTTAACATTCACCATGCACCAAATACATGATCCTGCAATATTTTAAATGCCATGCAATAGGAAATAAGAACTCTGCCTTCAAGTAGTGTTTTTTTAATTTTATATAAAAAGCACATATATGTAAATCAAAGATCAGTAAGACTTAACTAACACAGAAGAGGATAAATGCTGTGTATCCTGGCAGGAGAACAGAAGGAAGAAAGAGATTATGAAAATCATCAAGAGTATTGGTACTTGATAATTTCTACATAACAGATATTGTGGTGACTTTAACCTTATTTTAATGTAGTGACATTTGAGGTTAAATATTAGGCCTAGTTAGCAGCAAGGAGCATCTATCACTTAGAACATAAAGACTTACTTGACATGCATGAGCACAATTTATTAGATTTTAATGGCCATTTATTAGCCTTGTTATTCTTACATTATCAAGCAAAATGAAATGCAGGTCATTTTGTGGTTTTTCTCACCACTTATGGAGAAATGCCAAGTGAAATGATTAGTTCACTGAGTTCTATACAACCATGTCTTAGTGTGGCTTTTCTTATAGTAAATGATTTTAGAGATAAGAAGTAAAGTAGGACTATGTAGAATAATAAAATATCATTCTGAGCATACCAAACAGGCTGTGGTCACACCTGATGCAGTCGTCACTTACAAGCTATCCCATGGTTGTGAGCTGTTCAGACTAGAAGTTTGTAGAGTATAGGAGAAAAGAAGTCCTCAAATTCTGTAGATACTCTCTGACCAAGGTGTATCAGATATATGAATTATCTCTCAAAAGATACACCTTTGGAAATACATACTTGGTTCATTCTTTGACCCTTGTTTATGGCTCTAAAAACTACAAAAAGAGAAATAATGAAACAATTAGTGCTTGAAATTAAAGCACAATAGCAAATCCAGCAGAGCTTGGACATAGTTGATATCATTAGAACTAAAGAAGAACTGATGCTTCATTTCAGCCAAGTACTTGAAAACTGTTAGAAGCCAAATGAAACTTCTGAGAAGAAAAAGGCTGTAAACAATTGCAATATTATATTTCTAAAATTTACTCATTGGCCAAATCATTCCCTGAGGCTATACTCCAAAAGCAAAATTACTTAACCGAATAGTCATCACTTTTGCCAGGCATGAATCAGTGTGCTGTAGCCAAGCAGAGGTTAGATGGCTCCATAGATAGTAACACATTTCTGAAAGTACTAATAGGTGGATCAAGATTTGGTCTCAAATTCCAAATGAACCATAATAGTAACTCATTTTAACTAGTCATATTTGTTTAGTCTGTGCTTTTTAATGCACAAAAGACAGAGGATTAGAATACAGGGGGAAATGGATAGAGTTAAATGGAACAGAACTATATTTGTTCAGGATGCTCAGACTTTCCTGACTGGGGTCTAGACATAGAATTCTTTTCCAAGCACGGCTATGATTTAGAAGGGGTTGGAAGTGCTTACTCAGCGAATGTTGGCCATCTCTGGTAGCTTGCTTTCTTCTAGTCCAAGACATGTTGTCACCAATTTTCACACAATGTAAGTCTTCTGCGTGAATGGCTTTTCTAAATGAGAGTTGGAGTCATGAATCACTGGTGGAGTTTAGAAACATTCTCACTAATCTGAAATTTGCAGGATTCAAGCAACAGAGCTTTGCTAGGAAAAAAAAAGAAGGTCATGATTTGATAAGACACATGATTTGAGCAGAGAAAAATACTTAAACTAATGACCTGAGATGCTTGGATAAATCATTCCAGAATCCCAGATGATACACACCACATACACAATACCCTTGCCTAGAAGTGCTTTTGTGGCTCACAATCAACATTTTAAAGTCTTGAGAGATTTCAAGTGTAAACACAAATCCACTTACAATCTTGAGAGATTTCAAGTTTAAAATCAAATCCCTCATTGTCTAATATTTCTAAAGGAGGAAGGGGATTAAATTTATGATTAATTTTTTTCAGCATAATGTAACAGTTTAAGATGACACTTAGAAAATTTGAATTACTTAAAAAAACTTATAAAAAGAATATTGGAGATGCCCAGAGGATGTTTGTGATTTCAACATTGGATTTCATTGGGGTTATAGTTATGTCGTGATGCCTCTGAGTTATTCCCTGACACTGGGAGAGAATCTACTGACAAAGGGCCATTCATAAAGGACAGATGCACAAAGCCTTGTACATTTCTGCAGCTGAAAACAAAGCAACCTGGGAAGAAAACTTTCAAACAGAAGAGACCCTTCTTGATTCTCCTGTCTTTATATCCACCTCTCCAATTCATCCATTTCAAGGGCAAATTTCTGATTTTAGCTATGTTGCAGAAAGCTATTTTTTTCTCTCATAGTTTTCATCTAATAAGACTAACAAGAAAGATTTTAAGTAGAATTATTTATTTTTTGCATCTTACTCTTCTCCACAAAGAACACTCAGAAATTTCAATCATTAAAGGTTGTTCTAGAAGACTGCCGAAATTAAATACAAAATAAAAAGGAAACACGAGAGTGAAATGGGGACCAGTGACAAGTTTAAATTTTTTTCCTTTCCTTCCTAAGAGTAAGTCACAAACTGTGTGGTCTTCCTGGGTCTGGGGTACAAGTGTGAAAGCAGATAATCTTGGCAGTTTAGTTTTTGACCTCCAACGTGCCTAACATGGAAAATATAATGACTATGTACTTTGACTCAGTGAGGAAAAAAAACAACCAATGAGCCAATTCTTAGATTTCATATGGACATGAACTATAATCCATGGCCAATGATAAAAATAAACATCTAGCATGGAAGAATGAAAATGCCAGGTGCAAGTACAAGCATCACAGATGCCAAAGCATTCAATCTTCAAAATAGCCCTCAAGAGTAGACACCACTCGTAATATGTCAAGAGTCACAGTGAAACTTAACATACACAGTTTCGCTTCTCAGTCTTTCTTCCTAGCTGTTTCATCACACAGACTACAGAAATTATATAGTTGATCCGTGTGTAGAGAAAAAATAATCTTATGCTGATCCTTAGGCAGGGATTCTCTTAGAAAAAAATCAGATATTTGAAATTCAGTTTTACCAAATGCATACATCATTATTCAAGTGGAAGTCTGGTTCCTATCAGTGCGGTGGTGACTGGAGAAGGCCACCAGGAGGCAGTGGTACTTGTATCATCACAAAGGATAAGTAGGGTTCTAGAAGAACCGAGAAGATGGGAAGTGCTTTGAAACAGGAACTAATATTTAAATGCCATGGGGGAATTAAAGCTGCTGGGAAAACAGAGTAGGGTTGATTTGTTAAAGTGGCCCACAAATCACATATGCACCCCGGCAAAGGCCTGGCTGGCAGAAATCCCAGACGCATTTGAATTCCTCATAAAACTATAGATTGCCAGGCTCTCTCAGACCTACCACAAAATCTGATTCTCTGGGTGAAATCTGAGGATTTGAAGAGCTGAAATAATGCTCCCAACATCAACAATTCAATTGATCCCAGGCATTTCAAGCTGCTAGAAACTTCCTAGATCCATGCAGTTCATCCCCAAACCTTGAGAACCAGCCTATGACTGTTAGCATGTTCCAAATAGTAAATTTCCGAATGAGAGAATACTATATCTCATAACTCACATTACATACTCTATATGCCAGCTGAATCTGCGCTTTTGCTTCTTTCTTAATTCAGGATGGAAACGTTTTATCATTTTTAACAAGGGCTAACTTGGAAAAATATTCTAAACAACAAACCCCAAAATTGGCTGCCTATATGTTTATTTTGATTCAAAGAAAAACAAACAAACAAACAGGCCCGGGTGTGAAGGTGTTGGGATTCCAAAGGGGTGTTCGACATGCTTATTCAGGCAGTGATAGATTGTCACCCTCCTGCAGACATCTAAGACCGAATGGCCACCCTGCTTACTTTATTGCTCACTTGAATGACCAAGTATCTCTGAAACAACCTGCTGAAAATTCCATTTTACTTGTATTGTTTTTCTGGCTAAATAGTGACCAGGTTCTGCTTCAGAGCAAGCATGATCCCCCTTACCCAGTTCTGAAAACCAACCCTCCAGACTCATTGAGTCTGCTGCTTCACCCTGCCTTTCACTTGGTGCAGGCCTGAAAGCAGAGGGTGCTTTCCGTCTTCCAACTCCCCAAAGGTGTAGGAAAGAGAAGAAAATGCCGTGCACTCGAGTGAGTGGGATGCATAAGGAAAGGAAAGACTGTGGTCACCCACACTGCACAACACCAGCTCCCCTGGGTATTCCCAGCATGCTCTCCAGTCTCCTTTCAGGCAGTGCTACCAACAGCTGCCTCTCCCAGAATGGAAATCTGAGGCACTTTGCCGGGACCATGGCTATTTCCCTCCACTGTCAGGATTAAATAGCACAGGTTATTAGGAAACTCGGTTTTCATCAAAGAAAACTATTAGAAAGTGGATTGCCAGATGGATGGATGGGTGGCAAGGTAGGTGGATGGATGGATGGATGGGCAAATGGAAGGACGGATGGACAGAATTCACAGCTAAGTAAAAGTGACTCCTGGGAATTCTGAATCTTCACTCAAAAAATAACATCTATTAAGTAAATTTCAGTAGATACAATTAAGATGTAGAAATTTTAAGATGTACTATATGATCTTCTAGATGCCTATTTACATATATGTTCCAAGCTTCACTTCATAACTTCTGTTCACCAGTTATCTCCCAGTGAGTTTGTTAATATTAAGGAAAATTAAAGACCAAGTGAGCTTGATTTATTTCAATAATATGTCTTGTAGATTTACATTCATTACTCCCTCTCAATAGTAACACACAAGCCAATATGTTGTGGCCTTGTCTTCCTCCCTATTTGGGAAGCAGGCAGCATGCTGCCAGGCACATAGCACGTGTTTAAAATACACTTATCAAATTATACTAACCATCGCCCAGCCTACACATAAATTGCTGTCTTAAGAGAAGCCGTGTGTAAAAGCACACTGTGTAATGACCCCATCTGCTAGAGAGATGAAAGTCGGGGCGTAGCATTTCACTGGCCTGATCCATCTGCCACCAGTCACTTGTGGGCAGAGGCTTCTGGTTCTTGTCAGCCAGCAGTAGGAAGCAGAGCAGGATTTAGTAGCTGCTGAAGTACCAAAGGAAAGGGCATAGCACACACCATTCATGTCAAGTCCCTTATGAGGTCTGGGCTTCCTTAGCCCCCCTCCCATCTAGCAGATAAACATTCTCCCAGTGCTGCACTGCCTCACAGGATACCTTCCGCGCTGAGTTGGGGAAAATATGCTCAGTTAGAAGATGTTCAATTAACCCACGTGGACACATAAAAGGGTGTGATTTATGCTTCTCTCACGGAGACTTCGTCAAGTCAGTACTTCAGCTTTCACCCCATTTTCTTTACTTAGGTGGTGTGGAAGGGAAAGACAGAAACAAACTCGGGTGATAGTTCTTGTCCCAAAGAAAGTGAAATGTTTTCAGACACTTCCAATTCGACATATGACTCGCCACTTGAGCCTGACAAAAGGGCAAATCTCCGGTCACCTTCTGTGGTCCTGTGATTCTGAGGTAATAATGGTGTGTGTGTGTGTGTGTGTGTGTGTGTGTGTGTGTGTGTGTGTGTGTGTGTACACGTTTCCATGGATCAAACCTAGGTCATTCATTGCACATGCTTGCCAAGCACTCCACAAATGAGTTAAATTCTTATACCTATGATGCTTTTGTTTGTTGTTTTTGTTTTGTTTTTTCTTTTTTCTTTTGGTACCTGCAAAGAAGTCTAATTTCTTCTGGTTTAAAGGAAGAAAGAAAGCCATTTGATGCTCAAGTGCTGAACGTATATGCACTTCAACAGAACTTAAACAGCAGTGAACAATTAAACCGACCCAGCAAGCATCAGACGTGGAGAGGGGCTTTGCAGAGTTAGTCAGTGTCTCCAGAGGAAAGAGGAGAACAACGTTAAACACTTGGTGTGTAACAGACATCTTTCTGGACTTGGTGCCCTGTTTTGAGGAAACAATTGAGAAAAAATGGGGGTGAAGAAAATGATTTATTTATTTGGATTTCTTTTCTTTTTCTTTTTGCATTTGGAATGAATTTTTGTGCATTTAAAATGGATTTGCTTTCATTCGTGTTTGTTTTTTTGTCAGAGGTGTTCATTTTGGACAGGGTCCTAGCCTTAGCTCAGGTCTTAGTCCTAGCTCAGGTCTCAGCCCTTGTGGCAACTAAGGATACCCTTGAATTCCTGATCCTCCCATTGCTCTCTCCTGTATGTTATGGTTGCAGGCATGCACACACCCAATTCAAAATGACCTGCAAAACATTAGGAAAATTTAAATTATATGAGGATCATTACAGACACATTCTGCAGTGAGCTTTTTCATTCTCCTGAAGAATTTTGAAACCTTGAGTGTCATCTATTCCCAAATGGATGCAAGATGACCTAAGCGTAAATACCACATTCTTGCTTTAAAGTCTGCTTAAAATACCATTTGAATTTACTCCGAGAAGCAGAATTTTCCTCCTTTTATTGGAAATAGACTCTTTTCTGAAGTAACATATCCTGATTATGGTTTCCACTCCATCTACTCCTCCTGGTTCTTCCCCATCTTCCCTCCCATCTGGATCTACTCTCTTTCTGTAGTGATATATTATTTATGAATTATTAAAGCTTGACTGAGGATTCAGAAA